AACAGGTAATCATCAAGTGATCCATCCCTGGTGCCCATTCCTGGCTTCTGGCAAACAGAGGCTAGGGACACCATCCCTGCCCATCTTGGCTAATAGCCACTGATGGGTCTATCCTCCATGAATTTATCTAGTTCTTTTTTGAACCCTGTTATGGTCTTGGCCTTCACAAGATCCTCAGGCAAAATGTTCCACAGATTGACTGTGCGTTGTGTGAAGAAATACTTCCTTTCATTTGTTTAAAACCTGCTGCGTATTAATTTCATTTGGTGACTCCTGGTTCTTGTGTTATGAGAAGGAGTAAATTTCTTATTTACTTTCTCCATTTGATGCTTATTAACTTTTTCCATTCAATGTTTCATTTCCATTTGATGCACATTATCATTTTAAGACTACATTGCACAGGAAATATTTTAAAATGAATAAACCTTACCGATAAGTTTTACTTTAGAATATACTGCAGGTAAAACAAGTGTCAGTCATTCAGCCTCCAAAGATTGCATTAAGCCACAAGAGACCATGTTTTTGCTGTAACTCTGTTTTAAATCAACAGGACTATTATACTGAAGCCAGAACTATAATCCAGTGAAACTCGATACAGTTTTGGAAAGCTGCAGAAGGCATTAGAAAATACTTTGGGGGGTTGAGAAAGAGATCACTTCATCTTTAGACAAAGTCAAAATCTGTATTGTAAACATTTTAAATGATAGTTAAGAAATAGCTTTGGGTGGGCTGATGCGTTACCCTTTTCAGCCAAGTTTCTTAAACTGATAAGGACTTGTCTACATGAACTTTTAGTTTGTGGCAACTTGGGGTATGAATGTACCTCAACTAGCTTGCCATGCACTAACTGTCCTGTGAACTCTGTTGACACACACTAACACTTAGTTAGCACACTTTGATCTACCCTGATTTGAATTGGGACTAGATTAATGCACACTAATGAACTGTTAGTGCATGTCATCAGGGTCTGCAGGGACAGTCAGTACTCAGCAGGCTAGTGCAAAGTAGATTGCCATAAATTAAATGTTTGTGTAGACCACTTTAACTATGTGGTTCTGTGCAGTCCTATGCTGGTATAGTCAAAGTCGCACAACTCCCTGATGTGGATGCAGTTATACCAATATAAATGTGCTTATACCAGTTGTAGCTTATTCCCATATGGGAAAGGAAATAAACTATATGAGTATAAGGCACCTTTATACTGGTATGTCTGCATGCACATTAGAGGTTGTACTGTTATTATTTTGGTTAAAATCACAATCCTAACTGCCATAGTTATACTGGTACAAGATCTTTGTGTTCACCAGGCCTAATATGGCAAGTGAGAAATCTAGCAAGCAACGTGCTAGCCCGTTTGTTAAGCCCCTTGTCAGCAACTGTCATGCAATATTTCAGTCAACATTTCAGAAATTGAACAACAATATTTTTTAGAAACTGGATGACAGCAGAATAATAGCTCCCTTGTTTAAAATGGTTCGGTTCCCCCCCCCCCAGGGGCTTTCTCCCCCTCCCCTTTGTTTCTTTAATAAAAAATGAAGGCAGTGGTCTTGTCCATCTTGTGACTTCTTGACAAAGCACATACTGTCTAGGCATATTATCATCAAAAGTCCAGTAGAATCATCATCCCACTTTGCTGACTGTCCAGGCTACCAGCAAGGCTGAATTCCAGGTGTCCACATCCTGGAATGCACTGGAGTTTGTGGGGGGTGAGATAGGGAGAGAGATCTAGCCTGACGTTAGAGATGTCTGCTGCAGGTTCCTGTAATGGCACACAGGGTCTGAAGAGTGAAGATGAAATAGGGTGACTAGAATTCATAATTTATAGGGACAGTCCTGATTTATATAGGTTCTTATTACCCCTGTCAAGGTTTCTTCTCCACTCTGAACTCTAGGGTACAGATATGGGGACCTGTATGAAAGACCCCCTAAGCTTATTCTTACCAACTTAGGTTAAAAACTTCCTCAAGGTACAAACTTTGCCTTGTCCTTGAACCCTATGCTACCACCACCAAGCATGTTAAACAAAGAACAGGGAAAGAACCCACTTGGAGACGTCTTCCTCCCCAAATATTCCCCCAAACCCTATACCCCCTTTCCTGGGGAAGGCTTGATAAAAATCCTCACCAATTTGCATAGGTGAACACAGACCCAAACCCTTGGATCTTAAGAACAATGAAAAAGCAATCAGGATCTTAAAAGAAGAATTTTAATTATCGAAAAAGTAAAAGAATCACCTCTGTAAAATCAGGATGGTAAATACCTTACAGGGTACTCAGATTCAAAACATAGAGAATCCCCCTAGGCAAAACCTTAAGTTATAAAAAGACACAAAAACAGGAATATACATTCCATTCAGCACAGCTTATTTACCAGCCATTTAAACAAAAGGAAATCTAACACATTTCTAGCTGGATTACTTACTAACAAGTTCTAATACTCCATTCCTGTTCTGTGCCCGGCAAAAGCAACACACAGACAGACAGATCCCTTGTTCCTCCCACCTCCAGCTTTGAAAGTATCTTGTCTCCTCATTGGTCATTTTGGTCAGGTGCCAGCGAGGTTGTCTTAGCTTCTTAACCCTTTACAGGTGAAAGGGTTTTGCCTCTGGCCAGGAGGGATTTTATAGTTCTGTATACAGAAAGGTGGTTACCCTTCCCTTTATATTTATGACAACCCCCACCCCCTGTCCCGATTTTTCACACTTGCTGTCTGGTCACCCTAAGATGAAATCACAGAGGCCATACTGTTCATAAGATTTGAGAGCCACATTAATACATTAATACTGTAGCCCATGAAAGCTTATGTTCGCATAAATTTGTTCGTCTCTAAGGTTGCCACAAGTACTCCTGTTCCTTTTTATTAATACTTTGGATTTTTATAGAACCTTTCAGTAAATAATATAAAATATAAAAATACTGTACAAAACAACAGCCCCATGAGATACTCATTTTGCTGAAAGGGATATTGAGGCACAGAAGTTAAGTGACTTAGCTAAAGTCACAAAGAATCAGTGGCAGAAACAGTAATATAAATGAGGTACCCTATTTCCCAGTTCTCTGTTCTAATTATTATATCACATTGCCTCCCTAAACCACAACAGATTACAATATAAACATCTTTCACAGTTAAAGTGGGTTTAATGTGCACTCATTATCAGTTATGAATAAGGTAAATTCGCGATGAAAGTATCCTTTTCATGAGACATTCCTGTGACAATTATTTTACTTACAGTAAAAAAACAAACAAACCGTAATGCAATACCTTTAAAAAACATTGATACAAAAACTATAAACATTATGACTTTATAAAATACTTTGAGTAGACTCAGAGGTGGCTGCATTTCTCTGCGGAATGAATAACATTGTCTTTTTCTTCCAATCCACAGTTCTGGCCTTTTTAGCATGCATGAATGGCATGGCCTCCTCCTTTCTGGGTGATTCTGTCTGGCTCTTTTAAGTGTTAACTACATCTGGTCAGATATTTTGCATCCGAACATTGTTTGACAGTGGCCATTTTTCATTGAAAATTTTCATTTTGTTTGATTAAAAAACCAAAAATAAATAAATTTATAACTGAAAACGTTTCACTTCCTCAAATTGGTCAGCTTTTCGATGAAAATCTGAAAAATGTTTTCAGGGAATTTAAAAAAAAAAAGAGTTTTTCTAAAAATTTCCTGCAAAAAAAATAAATAACTGGCACTTTCTGACTAACGCGAGTGCTAAGTGACTTTAACTCTCATTGATAATAGGTACTTAGCATCTCACAAAATTGGTCTCTTAGAGTGAAATCCTTGCCATTGACTTCAGTGGGATTAGGATTTCACTTTTAGGCCCTGATTCTATGCCCGTAGGCAAACATGTATGCATGTGTTTAATTTGACTACTATTAGTGCTATTGATTTCAACAGCACTAATCAGGGCTTTAGCCTGTAAACTGCTTGGGTTCAGAGTCTTATTGTCCTATAGATTTGTAAAGCACCATGTGAATCATGGTATTATATGAAAAATTGAATGATAGGAGTAGTTAAAAATTCCACATTTTTGAAAGATCCTGCCGTTTCCAGTGATATTCCTGACATCTATAATTGGAAATTAACCTTTAAGTGGTGGAATCCTTCAAAACTATAGTGACAGGTTTCAGAGGAACAGCCGTGTTAGTCTGTATTCGCAAAAAGAAAAGGAGTACTTGTGGCACCTTAGAGACTAACCAATTTATTTGAGCATGAGCTTTCGTGAGCTACAGCTCACTTCATCAGATGTGAGCTGTAGCTCACGAAAGCTCATGCTCAAATAAATTGGTTAGTCTCTAAGGTGCCACAAGTACTCCTTTTCTTCAAAACTATAGAACTCTTATGTGTGCCAAATATAACTCTTGTCTGTTTTCATACAAAAAAAAATTATTCCTATGGATAAAAAGGCCCAGGGAGGGAGAAGCATAAGCATAACAGTCTTATCATTCTGGTTTGCCTTGGCTGGTTCTGGTAAAGTTCAGTATCCAACACCATAGTGTCTAAATGCCTGAGTCTCCATAGTTATCGGAATTGAGCTGATTGCTGCTATCCTCTGTTATTTCTTCTTTGACTTTCCAGTGTAGGGCCTGATCTAATGCCCACAGAAGTCAATGGAAAGACTCAATGAGTTTTAGATCGGGTTCTTAGGTACTTAGCATCTGGTTGAATAGTCAGTCAGGCGCCTGCCTCATTACCTATCCCTTTTCATCTTTTCAGACATAAGAAGCAAGTGAGTTAAAAGGGGAATTAACTCCTTGCATATTGGTATATTTGAACTCTTTCAGTGAGGTATTATTATCATTTTATTTTTCATTTATTTACTCTTTATTTATTGGCAGGGTATCAGCAGATGTGAAAAAATGTATGAATTTTACCCACTGGAGAAATGAACCAATTGAGTAGAATACAGTGTCAATATTGTAGCATCTGCTACCACAAAGAGAAGCCTAAGTCCACCGCAATTGTAATACACCCCTTTTTTTCTCTGTAGGTCTGTCAGTTTGTGGTTTCTGTGAATGGACTCAATGTTCTCCATGTGGACTACAGGACAGTGAGCAATCTCATTCTGACTGGCCCTCGAACTATTGTCATGGAAGTGATGGAGGAATTAGACTCCTGAGAAGGAAATTTCCTCGCTGGAAGCTGTGAATAGAAATAGAAGAATCAGTGCAAAGCCAAACAACACAAGGGGGCGAAACCTTGCCTTGTCTAACTAGATTATTTTGTCTTTCAGGTGCTTTCCCCTTCAGTTTAACAATCGTAGCTGTGATTCATATGCTAAGAAGTGAACAGTATATACCATCATGTTATCATTTAGGACCTGATCCTGCAAACTGTTCTGCTGAAGACAAGGACCAGGTCTTTAGTTGTCAATCCAGCTGTATCTGTTGGGATGGTATCCTGCTTAAAAGGCTGCAAGTAACTTCCCTTGCCATTCAACCATGTGATCACAATACTTGAAAAGAGGAATGTTTGGTAAGGACTTTCAATATGGTTGGCATGGCATATGAATGTTAGTGTACTCCCCTCCGTGTAATACAGATGTGTCCAAAGTGCGGCCCCAGGAGAGCAGCTGCCTGCTTCTGCTCCCTCTCTCTGATCATAAAGCAAAGAGAAAGGTGATCAACTTCAGGTGTTTATTGTCAGGGAATTCAAACAAGTAGCAGACAACATTAAAATTCGTAGATATGAAAAAAAGTGTGTGCCTTTCTGTGTTATGCACTGAGTTTCCAGAGCTGGGTAGCCCTATAAAAACCTGCAGCAATTGTTCTACGAAGGAAAATACAAGAACACACAAATGTTATGGAGGTGTGCATTAATTTTTCATTTTGAAAATATGGCCTTTGAAAACCAGACCTCTTATCTAGATGTCTAAGTACAGATTTAGGAGCCCAAGTTTGAAAATTTTGGGTCTATATATCTTCTGTCTAAACTACATGTGGCTCTTAGTCTCCTGGTAACTTGTCGATGTGGTTCTTTCCACAAAGCCTGGATATCCCTGATATCAGAAGAATGATAACATGTTAGAGAGCCGAAGTCAGAGAATCACAATGTTAGCATTAGCATTGAAATATTTAGTAGCTTGGATATGGTACAGTACACTTCAAATTGAAGCAATGCACTTGAATGTGTCTTTGATTATCAGCATTTTCAAACCATTAAATGCTTGAAAACTACAGATGCATCACATAATTTACATCTGATGCATTAATAACATGTTGTATTTAACTGACTCTTCCTCATTTTAAAACCAAGCAGGAATTTTTGTTGATGAACTTGTGAAAAAATATTTTTAAAATGTATAGTTGAATGATATACTTTACTGAATCTAAATTGCTTCTCAGCTCTATGATATCTGGCGTGCCATAGGTCTCTCAAACTGAGATTAATTGAATGTATACAGTCTTGTTCACAAAACATAAATATGTATATCTATAGATTGTAGGCATTCTGGTACTGTTCAGTTTATATACAGTAATACTTTTTAAATTAAAAAAATGAATGCTTGACCTTCAGTGCGAGAATACCCAAAAGAATTAACTACCTATTTTTGGTATTTTTCCCTACTAAGAGCGTTGACTATGTTTATATTAAGGAATTGGCCTCATCACACATTCTTCTTGCAGTATGATTTTCACTCACTCAGATATTTGCACAGGCTTGATCAAAGGAGTGGTAAGACTTCGAGATTATATGAGCTTGCAACGTCAAAAGTGAAATTGTATGTTTGCTTATTTTCTAAGCATGGCCAAAAAACTGTATTTTATGACTTACAATAAAAATTCCTCATAATTCCTTCATGTTTACCAGTGCAAGAAGATCTTAAATGCAGCTGAGAATACTATCGCTATACTAACCCTGTATAAAAGCCTTTTTGGGGCGGGGAGGGGGGAATTCTTTTAATGTGTCACTTTGTATCACAGTTGCTTATCCCTTATATTAACATAGCTGAAGAATGCTTGTACACATCTAGCACCCCCAGCAGACCTCACTAATGTATTGGTAGTTCCATAATGCTAAGTGCAACTAAAATAAATAGGTTGCTGCAAAAGGGTTCAAACATACTAAAATTTCCATACTGCATAATGTTATGTGATATGGCATTAATGTAGAGAGCATTTAGGGCTTTGGTCAGCTTCAGATGAACTTGATTAAAAGGAGTAAGATAAAGTCCCAGAGAAATTGCTAGTGTGCTATAATAGCTGCGATTCAGTGTATATAGGAAGGGTAATGCTTCCCCAAATACTTCTAATTTGTTATATCCTTTACTTCTCTTTAAATCTAACTTCTAAATATTAGGATGGGTTAACTATTAAAATACAAAGGGTTCTTTTACAGACAATGACTAGCATTTTGTTAATATCAGCATGGGACTTGTATTTTATGTCTCTTGATGTAGTTAATATGTTGCTACCACTTCCCTGTATCCTCCAGGCAATTATGAAACTGGTTCAGAATTTAGTTTCATAATGAAATACAGAGAGCTCTTGAGACCTTAGCAAGAAGTGAATGCAGTGGGGAAGAAGGGGAGCTTTGTGCATATCATTATAGAATACGGCATTTTGATTCATGAGATACATTCGTTTCTGTTGCAATTTGAATGCCCTTACTTGCCTGCCATTTCATGGCAATCTCCATATTGTTTTCTTAGCTTGATTTGTGATCCAGATTTGAATAACTTCTTTCCCTCTTCTTTGTTGCTGAGATGTTTAAAATTATCTACATATTTGAGCTGTGCAATTTCTTAAAGTTATTTGTGAGATTTTTAAAATCATAACTGTGATATGTATCATCTCAGATTAGAATGTGATCTAGCTTCACACTGTGATGTGTTTCACATCGCACTCCCCGTCAGTACCTGGCCTGTGCTGGGGAAGCTAATGATCCAACCAGCGGACCAAATTCGGTGATGAATCCTGGTCACGTGCCACCTGAGACACGTTGCGCAATTGCGCATACTTTAAGAAAAAGACTTACACTGAGTGACATCCTGGCCCCATTGAAGTCAATGGCAAACTCACATTGACTTCAGTGGGGCCAGGATTTCACCCATTATATAAAACCTTTCTCCATGTGACACATCATTGAAATTGATGGGATTATGGAACTGGCAAACATGAGTAAGACTAGCACAGTCTGGCCCACAGCAACTAACATAGAAAAGACAGCGGGGCAGATTGTCACTTGGTATAAACTGCTGTAGCTCAATTGAAGTCAATGGAAGGGAATGGAGCACAGACAATTTATGCCAGCTGAGGATCAGCCCCATTGTATCCAGCAGTGATGCTCAATATCATCAGTTACTAGGGAAACTTCATAAGCCTTACTGTGAAATACTGAGATATCTCATGCAAACACAAATTTGCCCAACAAGCTAAAATGAAGGTCTTATAAATCTTGTGCAATTTACGGTATTGCTACAGTACAAAGTTAGGTCAATTTTATAGAAGTTGATCTTTAGAAATCGATTTTATACAGTCAATTGTGTATGTCCCCACTAAGCGCATTAAGTTGGCGGAGTGTATCCTCACTACCGTGGCTAGCGTCAACTTACAGAGCAGTGCACTGTGCGTAGCTATCCCACAGTTCCTGCAGTCTCCACTGCCCATTGGAATTCCGGGTTAAGCTCCCAATGCCTGATGGGGCAAAAACATTGTTGAGGGTGGTTTTGGGTACATGTCGTCAGTCATCCCTCCCTCCCTCCATGAAAGCAACGCAGACAATCGTTTCGCGCTTTTTTTTCTGGGTTACCCATGCAGACACCATACCACAGCAAGCATGGAGCCCGCTCAGCTCACCGCTGCTGTTCTGAGCATTGTAAACACCTCGCGCATTATTCTGGAATATGTGCAGAACCGGGCTAAGAGACGCCAGCATGAGGACGATTGTGATGAAGACATGGACACAGACGTTCCTGAAAGCATGGGCTGTGGCAGTTGGGACATCATGGCGGCAGTGGGGCTGGTTGATACAGTGGAATGCAGATTCTGGGCCTGGCAAACAAGCACAGACTGGTGGGACCACATAGTGTTGCAGGTATGGGATGATTCACAGCGGCTGCGAAACTTTCACATGCGTAAGGCCACTTTCCTTGAACTTTGTGAGTTGCTTTCCCCTGCCCTGAAGAGCAGGAACACAAAGATGAGAGCTGCCCTGACAGTCGAGAAGCGAGTGGCTATAGCCCTGTGGAAGCTTGCAGTGCCTAACTGCTACTGGTCAGTCGGGAATCAGTTTGGAGTGGACAGGTCTACTGTGGGGACTGCTGTGATCCAAGTAGCCAATGCAATCACTGACGTTCTGCTATCAAGGGTAGTGACTCTGGGAAATGTGCAGGTCATACTGGATGTCTTTGCTGCAATGGGGTTCCCTAACTGTGGTGGGATGATAGACGGAACACATATCCGTATCTTGGCACCGGACCACCTTGTCAACCAGTATATAAACCGCAAGGGGTACTTCTCAATGGTGCTGCAAGCACTGGTGGATCACAAGGGACGTTTCACCGACATCAACGTGGGATGGCCGGGAAAGTTGCATGACACTCACATCTTTAGGAACTCGGGTCTTCAAGCAGTTACAAGAAGGGACTTGCTTCCCAGACCAGAAAATTACCGTTGGGGATGTTGAAATGCCAATAGTTATCCTTGGGGTCCCAGCCTACCCCTTGCTCCCATGGTTCATGAAGCCATGCAGAGGCACCCTGGACAGTAGTAAGGAGCAGTTCAACTATAGGCTGAGCAAGTGCAGAATGGTGGTAGAATATGCCTTTGGATGTTTAAAAGCTTGCTGGTGCTGTTTGCTGACTAGGTTAGACCTCAGCGCAACCAGCATTCCCATTGTTATAGCTGCTTGCTGTGTGCTCCATAATATCTGTAAGAGTAAGGGGGAGATGTTTATGGCAGGGTGGGAGGTTGAGACAAATCGCCTGGCGGCCGATTTTGAGCAGCCAGACACCAGGGCCGTTAGAAGAGCACAGCTAGGCGCCCTGATCATCAGAGTGGCTTTGATAACCAGTTTCATGACTGACCAGGCTACAGTGTAACAGCTGTATGGGTTTCTCCTTGCTGCAAACCTGCCCCCTTTTTTGATTTTAATTCCCTGTAAGCCAACCACCCTCCCGTCTTCGATCACAGCTGGCAAAGGAAATAAAGTAACTATTGTTTTGAAACCATGCATTATTTCTTTATTAATTAAAAAAAAAGTGAGATAACTGACAAGGTAGCCCAGGTGGGGTGGGGTGTGGGAGGAGGGAAGGACAAGGCCACATTGCTTATTGTAGCCACACTACAAATCAAAACTGAATGAACCCCGGCCATCCCACGTTGATGTCGGTGAAACGTCCCTTGTGATCCACCAGTGCTTGCAGCACCATTGAGAAGTACCCCTTGCGGTTTATATACTGGTTGACAAGGTGGTCCGGTGCCAAGATACGGATATGTGTTCCGTCTATCATCCCACCACAGTTAGGGAACCCCATTGCAGCAAAGACATCCAGTATGACCTGCACATTTCCCAGAGTCACTACCCTTGATAGCAGAACGTCAGTGATTGCATTGGCAGTGACCATGAGTTGGTTGAGTTCAGGATCCTGACACAGGGAAGAAAGGTAAGCAGCACGATACGGACCCTGGACTTCAGGAAAGCAGACTTCGACTCCCTCAGGGAACGGATGGCCAGGATCCCCTGGGGGACTAACTTGAAGGGGAAAGGAGTCCAGGAGAGCTGGCTGTATTTCAAGGAATCCCTGTTGAGGTTACAGGGACAAACCATCCCGATGAGTCGAAAGAATAGTAAATATGGCAGGCGACCAGCTTGGCTTAATGGTGAAATCTTAGCGGATCTTAAACATAAAAAAGAAGCTTACAAGAAGTGGAAGGTTGGACATATGACCAGGGAAGAGTATAAAAATATTGCTAGGGCATGTAGGAATGTTATCAGGAGGGCCAAATCGCACCTGGAGCTGCAGCTAGCCAGAGATGTCAAGAGTAACAAGAAGGGTTTCTTCAGGTATGTTGGCAACAAGAAGAAAGCCAAGGAATGTGTGGGCCCCTTACTGAATGAGGGAGGCAAACTAGTGACAGAGGATGTGGAAAAAGCTAATGTACTCAATGCTTTTTTTGCCTCTGTTTTCACTAACAAGGTCAGCTCCCAGACTGCTACGCTGGGCATCACAAAATGGGGAAGAGATGGCCAGCCCTCTGTGGAGATAGAGGTGGTTAGGGACTTTTTAGAAAAGCTGGACGTGCACAAGTCCATGGGGCCGGACGAGTTGCACCCGAGAGTGCTGAAGGAACTGGCGGCTGTGATTGCAGAGCCATTGGCCATTATCTTTGAAAACTCGTGGCGAACCGGGAAGTCCCGGATGACTGGAAAAAGGCTAATGTAGTGCCAATCTTTAAAAAAGGGAAGAAGGAGGATCCTGGGAACTACAGGCCAGTCAGCCTCACTTCAGTCCCTGGAAAAATCATGGAGCAGGTCCTCAAAGAATCAATCCTGAAGCACTTACATGAGAGGA